ATAGCCTTACATAGCTGGGAAGGGTAGGAGGCTGCGGCGATGGCTGTCCAGCGCATTCAACCTGGAGCTCTGCCCGCGCGCTCCTGATGCCGCAGGCCTGTTCTACAACAAATCCTGCCGTCTGCGTGACACCAGCGCTTTCGCCGAGAGAGACCCCCCGTCCACGAAACGACACGAGCACACTTCTTCCAAGCTGATGAAAGCGAGCAGTAGAACAGTCTGCACAGCGGGTCAGAGCTATCAGACGAAGAGCAAGCCACATCAACCACCTGTCTGGGTTTTCGAAGAAGGCTGGCACCCGGGGCCGTCTGCACACGTTGATCAGCCTGCTAGTGACGAACAGAGTGGCATTGCCCAACATCAGACGAGCATGCTGCGAGTCGGTGAGCGAGGGGAGGCCCATGAGGGCAGCAGCTGCCCGCAGAGGCTGACGGAGAGCCTGAGACCACGAAGTACAAGGAGTACCGAAGAAGACACCGAGGACCAGGCCGGAGCTGATCCACCCCTTGATGAAACGCTCCACGCATCGCACCAGCAAATTAACGCGCACGCCATACTGAATATCGAGAGACAACGCCGTAGCCAGCCTCTCGCAATTTCTTGGACACACCCGCGGAGCTGGCGAACAGCTCCAGGAAGACGCAGCGGCGCCTGCGCGTCGCCCCACAGAGGGCGGACTGGAGCCCCCGCCACAGGCGGCGCGCGATGCCGGCGGTCGAGCGGCTCAGCGGCGGCGAGCGGCTTGCCCTGCGCCTCCGCTCGCGCTGGCAGGCCGCCCCCGAGCCGCCTGGACAGGGCCCCGGCAAGCGAAACTCGGAAGTCCAGCGGCAGCGGCCGCGGCCAGCCGCCTGACGCGCAGCTTCAGCGGGCCGGGCACCTGGTCGATGATCCCCAGATGGACGAAGCCGGCGCGCACGACCTCCTGGAAGTTCTGCCCCACAAGGCCCCCGAACGAGTAGGCGCCGTCGGGGGCGAAGCCGATCTCGCGCAGCAGCCTGGACTCCTTGGCGCACCTGGCCATCGACGAGGCTGCCTTCCAACGCCCGCGTCGTCGGACCTGTTCCGCCGTCTCCCGGTTGGACAGCCGGTCGTCGGAGGCCCCGCCGCGCCTGAGGGAGCGGAGGTGAGGCCTCAGGCTGTCCAGGCCCAGCAGCGCGACGGCCTGGACGAACACCTTGCGGAGCTCCGCAGGACTGAAGGCCCACGGCAGCTGCCCGTGGGGCGTCGCCCAGCGGAGAGCCTCCAGCAGCGGGTTGAGCCACGTGTCCAGGTCCACCAGCACCGACTCCTCGAAGAGGCCTGTCTTGCCGGGACATCCCTGCCACATCGTGGAGAGGAAGCCCCCGCGCCTGATAGGCCGGGCCCGCCTTGGCTGAACGGGCCACCCAGTGCTGCGCCTTCAGATTGAAGCACTCGCACGGCCGGAGGTAGCACACGAAGGACACCATGATCCACGTTGCCATCCGCGTCTGACCGAGGGCCAGCATGACACCCGCGATCGCGAAGGCCAAGCCACTGCTGCACGCCAGCTCCGAGAGAACCCCGACTTGCCGGCGCGCCGAACCAGCGGGAGGAAGTGCGACAAGGCTGCGAGCAGCTGGCCCCCGTCGGCCGCCGCCACGCCCGCCTGGAACTGGCCGCTGAGGAAGCCCAACACGGCAAGGTCCAGCTCGCGGATGGAGACCCAGGAGACATGGTGGAGGAGGCAGTGGTCCGTGAACTTGCGGCACGCTGATCGGTAGATCCTCGGTCGACTCCTTGATGGCCAGCTGCCCCAGCGAGGTGAGCCCGGTGACTGGCTTCCTGCCTTGCAGCAGGTTCCGAGCCAGGGAGGCTCGAGCTCGCGACTGCCGGCTGCCACCCGGCGACCCGGGGAGCACGCCGCGCCATCGGTCCTGGCGCGGGCAGAGCCCCCAGGCTCGGCGGAGGAGGGAGGCTCGCCAAGGGCGCGCAGAGGGCGCGCGCCCGAGAACCACCTTCTGAGCCCACGTGAATACGGGTCCGAGGGGTTGAGCTCCGAAGCGATCCACCGAACGTAGATCCGCGAACCCGAAGCCAGGCTGAGTGCTGCCAATCCAATTTCTGGGGAGGCCCTCTAAAATGACGGGAACGAGCACACCCCTTGGTGGCTGCGAGAGCGAGGGGCTGGTTATCGACCAGGGGACAATGCCTTTTCCGCAAGCATGCGAACTCCGAAGAACATGACGAATGGCCAACACCAAGGCCCCCCCCTCGAGCTCCAGGATGTCGAGGCCCTCCGGGATCTGCGCCGCGGCAACCCCAGCCCAAGACGAAGCCTCCAGGACATCTCCAGGAATCTCGTCGAACACGGCCTCGGAGACGTTCGGGAAGGGGCCTCCAGGGGATCTCGTTGAAGAGGGGCTCGGAAAAGGAGGTGGTGATGAGCCGAAGTCACAGAGTGCTCTTCCACGGGCTCGCGCCCCCCCTTCAACTCGGCAGCGCCGGCGCTCGGACTGACGCCCAAGCTCCGCGGCGCGGTCGGTCGGGAGACGGCGCCGAGCAAGCCCGAGTCCGAACTCGAAAGCGTCGGAGGCGACCACCTGCCCATGCCAAGGCGCGAGCTCGTCGGCCTGCAAAAGAGGAAGGATGCACCTCACGCGCCAGAGCTCCTGACGCACCGAGCGCCACAGACCCAGCGGCTGGCTGCCGGCCTTGGCGGCGAAGGCGCACGACGCCTGCAGCAAGCACAGGCCCCCCCGCCTGAGCAGCGCCGACCTGGTGACGCGGCCGAGCTTCATGAGCGCACCGCTGCACTTGCCAATGCGGAGGAGCTCCTCGACCGACAGCCTGAGCCGCCACAGGCGCTTCGGCCTGACTGCCAAGAAGCGGCCATCCGCGAGGCTCAGGCCCAGAAACTCGGCGTCGTGGCTGGCCGGCCCCCGGTCGTGCACCACCAGGCCCAGCTTCTCAAGCTGGGAGCGCGCGCAGTCGCAGTGGCTGTTCGCGCCGCTGGCTCCGTGCCTAGCACGAAAAAATTGCCCGCGTAGCCGGCCGCCACAGGGGGCCCCCCTCGTCGCACCTGTCGCCCGGGCTGGCCGTCCTCGACGAGGCTGCTCGCCGGGAAGCCGCCGAAGCTGATACCGCGCCGGAGGGCGCCCTGGCGCAAGTGAAGGGCCCGCGAAAACCCCATGGACAGCACGCGCAGACAGGGCGCGACGGGCTGCCCCGGGCCATCTGGCAAGTCGGCGACCCCGCAGTTGAGCAGCAGCCCCGCGCCCAGGCTAGGCGAGGAGAGGAGAAGTGCGGGACCATGTCGGGCGGCACCAGCGCGCGGTAAAAAGCGGCCTCCAAGTCCCCCGAGACGATAAAGAACCTTCTGGTCCGCCCCCAGCGCGCCGAGAGCCGAAGGGGTAGGCGGGCGCGTCGAAGGGGCAGCCACGAAGTCGCAGTTGATGACTCTCGTGTCGAAGATGATCCTGAGGCGCCCATCTTTGCGCCCGGCGAAAAACAGCCCGCGGCCCCCACCATGCCCATGCTTCCAAGTCAGCATTCCACGGAGCCAGGGCTCTCTCAGAAAGGTAGCGTATTCACGAACGTTGCGCTTCAGCACCGGGTCGACGCACGCGCCCCGAGGGCGCGCCTCCACGCGGAAGCCCCGAGCAGCCTGAGACGGAGCACGCGCCCCTTCCAATCCCTAAGCCACGAGGCGTCCACATCACCAAACAAATCGGTCAGCGGGATCGGCTTGCTCGAGGCGGAGGCCAGGCGATCTTCTCGCTGTCGCAGGGAGCGACGGGCCTGCCACCACTGGTGTAACGGCGCGCCTGACAGGAGCGCGCTGAGGGCTCCCTGTCCTGAATCGAGGTCTGGAGGAGGTCGGCCGACACGCAAGTAGCGGTGGCGAACGCGTTCCAGGGCCAATCGCTGTCCTGCATTGAGGCTGACGCCAGAGCCGGAACCAAAATTGCCATACATATCATTCAGCGCGTCCACGCCCTCAGCAGCCCAACGATCAGTCTGGGCAGCACGAACACGACGGCGGGCCACGCAACGGCCCACAGGGACCTCGCCAACATTGCAGCGCTCCGAGACCAAGGCGGGCAGGGGGAAGAGGCCGCGCTGGCGGCCCTCCTCCATTGCACGCCGAGAGCGGCGAGCGCCGCGGGCAGAAGACGCGGCGGGGCTGCCCAGGATCCCCGCCGCGGGGGCGATCAGCCTTCCCCCCCTGCCCTCGGAGTCCCTTCTTGCCAGGCTTCTTGGCGGAGGGTTTCGGGGGTGCCCGTTCTTCGCGCGCCTTGCGGCGCCCCTTGGCCAGCGCGGCCTCGCGGGGCAGCTCCGCGGCCACGAAGGTCTGCAGCTGCGGGCGCACGCAGAGGTTGCCTCGGGAGCGCTGGCTCCCGAAGAAGAGGTGCCGGTCGCACCCCTCGTCGTCGCCCCCCCCGCTCAGGCGGTGCCGGCACCATTCCTCCCGCGCCTGGAGAGACCGGCTCACAGCCTCGAAGGAGGCCAGCGATGCCGCGTTGAGCTGGTCGTAGCACGCGCCCTCCTGCAAGATGCGGCAGCACTCCTCGTGCTCCACAACGCCGACGTCCGAATCCGCGAGGCGGAACATCGCCTTGAAGACCTGATGCCGACCGAGCGGCGCCCCCCCGTTCTCGCAGATGAAGCGGCAGACCCAAAGGCACGTTCTCGGCCCAGACAACCTCCAGTCTGGCCAGGGGTGCTCGACCAGCCTGAGCACGCCCTCTCTGAACTCGATGTGCCTCTGGCCCAACATGTCGAAAGCGGCGACCAGGGCCCGCGGGTCGGGCGGGGCCACGCCAGCGCCGGCCGCCACAGGCCCAGCCACAGGAGCCAGGACAGGCAGCGCCACAGGGGGCGCCACGGGGGCAGCGGCCGGCGCGGCCGGCGCGGCAGCAGCGGGGAGACCGCCAAGGCCCCGGGGACCGCCGGCGCGGGACCCGGGGGCGCCGGCCCCCCAGGGGCGGCTGCCGGGGGCCCCGCGCCACCGAGGGCGGCGACCAAGGCTCCGACTCCACCTCCCACGCCGGCGGCCGGCGCAACGGGCGCCGCGGCCGGCGCGGCCGGGTCGACCAGGGCGCGGACACCTGCCCCGCCCCCGAGCACGTTCCCTGCGGCGAGCTCGAGGTGGAAGGTGGACCCGGCCAGTCGCGGAAAGCCTGCGGCGACCGCGCGGCCGAGCGCAGCCCAGGCCTCCGCCGCTGTGGGAAGACGCCGAAACCGATGAACATGGGCGCCAGCGACGGCCGCCCTGGCCGGCGAGCCTGATAATCTCCGCGATGTCCTGGTTCGGAACGTTGCCCTCGTCGTAGTCGTCGAAGTCGGGCGTGAGAATATACGACAGCGCGCCCCGCTCTCCCAGCGTCAACCTCTCATGGTACATGAGCGGGCCGGGGACGCTGTACCTGACCAGATAGAAAGATCCAGCCGTCACTGGCCCTGGGAGCGCCTGAGCCGGCCGATGCGGGCCTGCTCAAAGGCGAGGGCGTGGAAGTCGAGCGGCACGACGGAGTCGACCTCGACCGGCGACGCCGCGGCAGCACGGTCCCCGAGGGCGTTGAGCTGGCGCGAGCCGCCAACCCCGAAAGCTCGACGAAGCAGGCTCCCGAGCCGACAGACCAGGGAGAGACCAAGCTTGGCGGCCTCCACGAAATGCAACCCCAAGAACCCGGCGCCGACCTGGAGTGACCAGGACGGAGATGAGGACTCGCCTGCCTCTGGGCAGGCCGGGCAAAGGGTACACGGAGACGGGCGCGTGGCCGACTGGCAGGCGCCCGCGGCCGCGGCGATGCAATCCGCGACGGGGACCAGCACCTCCGGCCGAGACTCCTCCTCCAGCGCCGTGAACTCGGGCTGGGCCGCCGCTGCCGCCGCCGCGCTGGGGGCGGGAGGCAGCCCCGGCGCAGCCCGCCATCGCCAGCGCGCCACGCCTACGGCACTCAGGTGACAGAAGACTGAGAGTCCGAGGCCGCGCGCAAGCATGGAATGGGGGCGGCTGCGCCCCTTTAAGGCTTGGGCTGGCACGTCGACGGTGTGACGTCGATGCGGCGAGACCTCGGGACCTGGGGCACCTCACTTCAGCTTGTCAAAAGCGACCATATTTCAGCCCCCGGGGGCCCGAGTATGTCCATATCCACCGCCTGCCGAGGCTCCGAAAACTGAAGCCCGGCCGGACGCTTCGTAGCTCCCAGACCCAGGTCAGCGGAGGGCGGAAAGAGAGACTCGGCCCCACGTGGCTCCCGAACACGGGTCAGCCAGAGGGGAGGGGCTGACCCCCGTTAGCGCACTCTCCCCTCACGTGGGCCCCGACCCGATTTTGTGAGCGTTTTCTTATTCGCCGTTTCGACATTGGGCGAAGGGGGGGGAGGGGGGGGTCTGGCTCCGGACCTCTGCTTACTGCGACTGTCTGCAACAATGCGTCCGATGGGGGAAGGACTCCACATGCTCAAAACAGGCGCCAAATACAACCAAAATCTACTCCACGTAAGGGGGGGCGAGGGCCCGCGCCGATCGGCAAAAGAGTCCAGAAGGACTGGCCTGCCTGCGCGATTGGAAACAGCGCCCGCCCCGTTCATCCCTGTGCCCCCGCGGCGTCCGAGCGAGGCCGCACGCGCGCGAGACCGACCTTGTGCAACGAACCGGCGAAAGTCAACGATAGGGGGGGTTCCTCCCCCCTCCTCCTCTTCCTCCGCCTCCTCCTCCTCCTTCTCCATCCCCTCTCCTTTTTTAACAACATGTCCCTGTCGCACACCCACACGTGTGGATAGGGCGGGCCCGACGTTTCGTTTGAGACTTCCTCACCACGTACGTTCCTGAAGCTTGAAATCTGCAACAAATGCAGGTTGGAAGGCGGGTCCTTTTCCATATGTGGCTCTCGCAGTACCGCCGCGCACATTCGCCGAAACTGTTGCAAATTCACTAATGGACGGGTCCTATTTCAAAATTTGGATTTTGCAGTGGCGCAGCACATTCGTTTTAAAACTGCGCAAAAGTTTCAAGGATGGAGGGAACGTCCTCTCCAACGTGGCTCTCGCCTGAACGCCGCGCACATTCGTCTCAAACGATTGCCACGATTTCACGGATGGGCGGCGCGTCCATTTCAAAATATGGCTCTCGTTTTACCGCCGCGCACATTCGTCTTAAAAGTGCGCAACAGGTTTAAGGGTTCTTGCGTTCGAGTGTCCAGGAATAGTGCGTGTGTGGCACGATTTGGGATTGTCAAGACGCAACGATAATGTTGATTCTCGGTGCGAAGTCCCAGGGAGGGTGTTCTGCCACGAAGTAGGGCTGCTTGAACGCAACAGTCACGTTGATCCACGGCGTTGCCGTCCCATGAAAAGCGCTTTGGCACGATTGAAGATTATCAGACGGTTGTCTTCAAATGGGCCACTGCCCGCAATAAAAACCAATTCTTGTCGGGACATCTGACAAGGGACCTTGGAAGAGGGCGTATTGCAACATCGTTGGTACGTCTCGGGCTCACACTTATCATCCTCCTCCCGTCTCGCATGCCTCAAACACGACGGAATCCAATCAAGCTGAGCATTTATCCAGACTATATGCTGGCCCATGGTCCAATGCTTGGAGTCAAGCCGACTTCGCTCGTCGGGCTTCGTGGTTTCACTGGGATTCGCTTCGCGACTGGCCTCACTCACGGACTCACTCGCCCACTCAATCAGCCACCCACTCACTCACTCATTCTCGCACTCGCTCAGGATAAAGTGCAGGAGGGGATCAGCGAGTCTTTTCCTCTCAGCGCCCCTGGGAGTTGCTGTCCAAAGACTGGCGTTAAGATCCGTTCAGCTCTGCGCTGGAAGCTGTTTGTGCCCAAATGTTGCGGCGCCGATGCCGACTAAACATGGCCAGCAACAGCAAGCCGCCGCCGACCCTAACTTCTACACCACTACTTCGCTAGAATACGTTGTTTGCACACGTATTCGGGTGGAGGGCCCCGAATTGCACGAGCTTCAACCAACGGCTTGGGGGCGTCCCCCGATTCGCGAACGAAAAGCTCGCTCAAGCCACGATCCAAGGACTGGGTGCCCATTCAACGCCAACTCAACGCCAACACCCCTTTCCGTGGCTCTGCACTGTTGACTGGTGGCACCCTACAACTAACCCCAAAAACAAACCCTCTCTCTCGGGTTCCTCTCGGCGCCGAGGGCGCTCGACGCCAGCGGGGCAAAATACGCCTCAGCTACGAGGGCAGATTGCTGGAGCATGCTGGGCGTGCACTCGTCTGCTAAACACTCGCGAAGCCGACTGTCTACGTTGGCCATGTGAGTGTTGGTATAGGCCTCGGGTGCTACACAATCGACTTTCTCTATGTACAAAAGCTTCGGGCCACGAGCTGCGCACGTGACTCGGCGGAGCACTGGATGGGGGGGAGAAGGGGGGCGAGGGAGGATGGTTTCAGAAAGTGCGAGAGTGAAAAATGATCACGCTCCTTCCTCACGTCCAAATCCAAGAACAGCACCTCGCGACATGCCCACGTGATCTTCACCGGGTAGACGTGAGCAAGCGCCTGCATCTCCCTGAAGGGCGACAGCGTGCGCGAGACTAGTCCCCGATTCAGGAGTAGCATGTCATTGCTGAACCTCAAACAAACTCTGACGCCGCGGTGGGCAAGCTTCTTGCCGGCCATTGCCGTTGCGACGCGCCGCTCCATGAGCGCCGCGAGCCGCAACCTCGCCGGAACGTGGCAGGCCCATCCCTGATCTTTCCAGCATCTGGTACGTGAGATGATCAGGCCGTTCCCACGGGTCGTCAACATATTGATCCTGCAAAACGAAATCAAGAACTCGAAGCAAGACTTCCTTCACAGGGTCGACAACCGCCCAGAATGTCAGGGTTGCCTTTATAATCTGATCGGGCGCGCCATTCAAGTAGAAGTCCTTTTACATCGATTGTGGCCATGTGCCACTGCCCACCACTCGCATGCCTAATACGTTCGATCCTGGACACCAGGTCTTGCGAGTCCTTAAGAGGATATGGTACGTATCCGCCCAGTTTGCGTCTGAGCTCCCGCGCCAACCAGTGGCTGAGCCCAGAAAACATGCATCGCGAAGAGGCGTGAACAGCTCGCGCAACCACATATCCCTGAGGCTTCTGCGTCTTGACCGCGATATGCTGACTGCTCCGCGCCGCGGTGCCTGCAAACATTGCGCTCTTGAAGAGTGCGGGGCCCAACGCGTCATCGCCCAACCTCTCGCAAACCCACGCGCGTTGCGCATGCCATGCCGGCTGGTTGACATGCAACGCGCACCTGACAAACACACGATTTGAAATTATAGGAAGATCAGTTTTCAGCAGCAAAAAACTGAAATCCTTGTCATGAGAGATCGCCGCAAACTTGCTGCTTCGGAGTAGCTGCAAAGCGGACTTTCCCAACGGCCCCAAATTAGAGTACGATCGCGTAGAATACCGCGTACGTGCCCTGGCCCGCACGATGGCCGCCATGAGCTGCTGGCTGACAGATTGCAGCCACCACTTCATAGGAAGCCAACTGGGTTTGGTTTAGTTTCAGCCTCCTTGGTGAAGGTTGGTGCTCTCGGCGCCAGAGGGCCTCGGAAGGCTCGGGGAGGTCCAGGAAAATGATGAAAGTACCACCTCCATTTCATCTTGTTTGCAAAATCTTGCCACTGCCATCGGAAGGAAGCCAAACAGGGAAAAGCTCTAGATATAGAAATGTGCTTACGATGGCGACGTAATGTGTAAGATTTGATCGGTCATGGTACGCTGGCCGTCCGCATGCTCAGGGAAAACGGATCGTATAGCTGAGCCCGGTTTTGGTGAGATGGCCAACCCAAGATGGCAAGGAAATCCCCAACGCTTAACCCAGACGTCATACGCCACACACACACACACACATCGGATATCACTACGCTGTGATACGTCCTCCCGAAGCTTGCGTCTCCATGCTACTTGGCTAGGAGTTTACGTTCGTACCACGCTCTCCCTTTTTCCCGTGTGGGTGCTTGCCCTTCCTGGTTTCCTTGCCATTTCTGGATTCCTTGCCGTTTTTCTGTCCTTATCTTTGCCTTTGCCTTTCTTGCCTTCTTGCCTTTCTTGCCATTGCCTTTGTCCTTGGACGTCGTATATTGGGGGTCCCTTCCCTTGCCCCTGCGGTCCTTGTCCATGCCTGCCTTTGGTTTTGCCTCCCCTGGTGTCGCCGCCGGGGAGCGGCCGTTTTCTGCAGACACTGCGTCGCAGAAACGAATCAAGGTGCGAGCTGGATCCTCTGCTCCAACTTCTGACCCCATAGCTGCGTTTGGAAGTCCCCCTTCCAGATCAACAGCACTGCTTTCGCCCAACTTGTCCATGATCTCCGCGTTGATCACCTTCTTGAGGAGGCTGGCCGGGTCCATGTTCAACCTGGCCTGCTCCTTGGCATCATCCTTGTCCTTCGCCTTCTTGGCCTCGCTCTCGTTGGTCTCGATTTCCTTGGGGATACGATCAACCGCCTGATTGCGCAGCGACTCTGCCTTGGCAGCAGCTTCCTGTTCGGGCACGGGTTCATAGCTGGGTTCGCCCAGTCCCAGAGCTGACGCCCTGTCCTTTTCGGCGGCTGCTTTGATGATGCCCTTCACGGTGTTGGCGGACGTCACCTTGAGCGCTGCCTGCTTTGCGTCGGACATCTTCCTCTCGGCGAATCGCTTCTCTAAGTCTCTGATGTGTCTGAAGCAAGGCCAATGAACAGACGCCATTATTTCACGAGACGTTGAACCCTGTTGGATTTGGATGGTGATCTGGCTGCTGCTCGCGATCGCCTCGTCGTTGGGCAGGTCGAGCTCCATCAGCGTCTCAGAGGCAGCGAAGGGTTTGACGCCTGCTGGGTACCTACCTTCGCATTCGTCGAACAGTCTGAACTCCTCCTCC